AATGCTTTCAGAAAGAAAAAAAAAGAAATCAGGGATTGGCAAATGACAGTCCTCATCTGCTTTTATAAAGAACCTCTGGAACATAGCCACACTCACACTAAGTATGGCTGGTTTTTGCTGCAACAGCACAGGTGAGTATTGAGACGAGACAATCGAGGCCACAGGCCCTTCACAGAAGTTTGCCAACGCTGAGCTAGATAATCAATACTGAATAGAAAATAGATTCCCAGGAAGTCAAAATGTTTTCATCTAGTACTACTTCTGAATTCAATTCTTGTTTTGCTTATGCTGGACTGTGGTCAACCTGACCTCTTCCTACTGTCTCCTGTACTAGACCCTGGTACCAGCCACCTTTTCTCCCCTGGATTATGGCAGCTCTGGTCTGATCTTGGCTGTCTCATTTAATCAACTACAGTCTATCTTCAAACACAGCAGCTAGATCAATCCTTTAAAACTATGTCAGATCATGTCTCCCCTCTGCGCCAAACTTTCCAATGACTCCACTTCATTGAGAGTAAGAGTCAAGGGTTTTAGAACAGCCTAGAAAGCTTTTATGGTATGAGGCTATATTATTTCTTACATGATCCTTTATTATTCTCTCCTTCTTTCACTCCCTCTCCAGCTACACTAACCACCTTCCTGTTCCTTGAACAATAGGCCAGGCATATTTTGCATGAAGCTTTTTTATAACAGCCATTCCCTCTGCTTGGAAACACTTTTTCTTCAAATGGCTGCATGACTAGCTAAGCGACTCCAAGTGTCAGCTCAAATCTTGAAATGAGGCCTACCAATGGATAAAAGAAGTAAACCTAAGACAGAAAACTTAAACAGTAAAAAATCTACAAGAAAGAGGGAGAAATATTGATCTTGGGAAAGAATTTATGAGCAAGAAAGGCAACTGTAGCAACAACAAAAATAGATGGGACTTTATCAAGTTAAAAAGTTTCTGCACAGATAAGGACACAATCAGCAAAGCATAGAGACAATCTTCAGAATGGGAGAAAGTATTTGCATGTTATAAAAGTGACAAAGAGCTAATAACCAGAATGTAAGCAAATCAACCAAAAAAAGAGCAAGGAAACTCATTAAACACGAACAGATCTTTGTTCACGAAGACAGTCAAATGGCCACCAAACTCATGAAAAATGCTCATTGTCTCTAATTATTATTATGGTTTTGACCTCAAAACCACTTTGAGGTATCGCCTAACCCCAGTGAAAAAGGCCCACATCACAGGGTCCTGAAGCAAGAGATGCTGGCACGGGTGCAGAGTGACGGGGACACACCTGCTCGTCGGTCGGACTGCAAACTAGTACCGCCTTTTTGAGAAGAAGTATGGGGAGTCCTCAAAGAACTAAAGACCTTCCATTATCCTGCATTACTAAATATCTACCCCAAAGAAAAAAATGTCATTTTACTATAAGGACATATGTACTGGAATGTTCGTAGCAGGCCAATTTACAACTGCAAAGATGTGGGAACAACTCAAGAGCCCTTCAACCCATGAGTGGATTAATAAACTGTGGGGTATGTATTTCCTGGATAACTATTCGGCCATAGAAAAGATGGAGATTTTGTATTTTTTGTCACAATATGAAATTCAGAATGGGAGAAAGTATTTGCATGTTACAAAAGTGACAGAGAGCTAATAACCAGAACGTAAAGCAAATCAACCAAAAAAGAGCAATAAAACTCATGAGGATGATTTAGAGAACACTCTAAAATAGGATGGATTAGAGAACACTCCCCTATGTATCACTAGAATGGAAAAGAAAGCATCACATGTACTCAATGCTCATTTGAAACTTGTAGATTAACAGCAAGATGTCCTTGATCAATGGAAAAACTCAATTAAACCAGCAGGTTCCTGCCCACCGGGAACAAAGTGCCAGTGTATGGCGCACTTCCTGGGTGAAGGGCACAACTACACCTGACTTTACCTTGCAAATGCGAACAATGTAACCTCATTGTATGTCCCCTCATGTTAATCAGAAACTTAAAAAAAAAAACAAAAACAAAAAACCGAGGCCTACGCAGGCCATCCCAGCCTCGGCCTCCCTATTCCCTCACCTTGTCACTATTTATGCTCTAAACTTACACTACATTATGTTGATTGTTTGTCTTTCTTCCCACCCTACTGAAGAAGGGCCTGGAACACTGGTATAGTTTGTGTGAAGAAGGAAGAAAGAGTAAGTGTGCTAGGAAGTTACGGAAGTGAAAATTAAATACTTAAGAAAAAACGCTTTAGGCAATGAAGCCTAAGGAAAGCAGGGAGGAGTTGAGAATACATTTTTAAGTTGTAAAAAAAAAATAAAAATAAAAAAGGGCAGCACCTATGGCTCAGTGAGGGTGGTGGGTTGAAACCCACCCTGGCCAAACTGCAACAAAAAAAATAGCCAGGCGCTGTGGTGGGTGCCTATAATTCCAGCTACTCGGGAGGCTGAGGCAGGAGACTCACCTAAGCCCAAGAGCTGGAGGTTGCTGTAAGCTGTGATGCCTCAGCACTCTACTGAGGATGACAAAATGAGACTCTGTCTCTTAAAAAAAAAAAAAGAAAAAGAAAAGAAACTTCAAATCCTTCAATCATGTGGCTTATTACTTTTAAAATGAAAGCCATAGGTGCTGCCCTTTCTTATTTTTTTACAACTTGAAAATGTATTCTCAACTCCTCCCTGCTTTCTTTCTGCTTAATTGCCTAGAGCATTTTTTAAGTATTTATTTTTGACTTCCGTAGCTTAAAAAAACCAAATAAAAAACACAAAAAAACTCACTCCATATTTTTTTTTTAAAGAAGAGGGATTTGTGGGAAAGAATTATCTAAAATTGCCAAATCAACTATGTGTCATTCCTCCAGCTCACTGTTTTAACAACATATCAAAATAATTTTAACTTGACTGATGTAATTTTTTTTTTCTTTCTTTCTTTCTTTTTTTTTTTTTTTTGTTGCAGTTTTTGGCTGGGGCTGGGTTTGAACCCACCATCTCCAGTACATGGGGCCGGCGCCCCCCTCCTTGAGCCACAAGAGCCTCAATAGAATATCCTTTAGATATAAATTTATATTTACTCCGAATTTTACACCTGTATCTTGCTTCCAACAGACTGAGATTGCAGTGTTCAGTTCAAAGCACAGTTGCAGACTAGGAAACAACTAGGAAACTACGCCAGAGTTGATGTCACATTCCTAATGCAGCAAAACAGTGTCTTGTGCCTCTTCCCACAATCCCAAACGACTTACAGTGTTACTCAGCAATGGCCGCTAGGAATGAACAAATGCATAAGGTAACAGTTAACATAATACCAAAAGCTGCAACAGCACTTCCCTGATTCAGAGAGCGAATAGTACATGTTTGGTTGCCTTAAAATATTGATCAATGTAAGAGCTTGAAGAATTACATATCCACAACATAACTACACTCTCTGAAAAGCAAAAGAAAGCAATCCTGTATTTTGAAATGGTGTTGATTGAAACTTTAGTGCCCTCTAAAGTTGGCACTATTACTATATCTGCATTTTACAGAGAAGGGAAATGACCCTTTAGTTCAGTAATATCAAAGTACAACCGAAGTAGGCCTACTCCAAACATGGGCTGTTAATCATTATTAGAACTGCCTGAGTCTTCTTTGAATTTCCATCAAAGTATAAACATATAGAAGGCTACATTGTGAAATATTTAATAAACTTTAACTGATTACAATAAAAATTTTTCTTAATCCTTCACGCTTGTATTTTAGAGCCACTCACTACTAAGATAAATAAAGTGGGAAGTTTTAAAAGAAAAATCTGCAAATGCAGCCAGTGCCCAAGATTAGTTAACTGACATAACATGTAAGAAGAGCCAAAGTGATTACATGTAGCGTTCAGAAACTCAAAGAAAAATAATGAAAACAGCCGCATTAGGAGTCTGAAGCTTGGAATTGACTCCCAGGTCTCTCAATTTCTGCAACCTGGTCCAGTCATTTACCTTTATGACTCATTTTTCTCGTGTGCAAAACAATAGTGACCTGAACAACCCCACTGACTGTAATACATGATGATTTTTAATTTTATTAGCTCCAAACAGAGACATATATGGAAGGGAAAAAGAGATGACTTAAATCCTGAACTTTTGATCTAAAATCTACATTCTGAAATAGGGATTTATATTTATTATCCCACAAGTCCCTAAATCCTTTGGGAACAGGTATATACTAAATAAACGTGTTAATAATAGTGCTTTGCACACCTACATGATGGATCCTTCTGACTCCAAAAGCTATGATCTTAACCTCACCGTGACTTTTCTAAAGTCACATTAATCCGAAATTTGCAGCTAATACCTAATCAAATCTTAGGTATTAGGCATAATTATCAGTATAAGGCGCCCAGCTCAGATCCTGGCACAGCACAGAAATTCAATAAAGTTATTTGACGTCTGTAGTATTAATAAATCTTATGTAAGTAAAAATCTTGTCTAAGTTACAGTAGACCAGCAGAGGAAATGCTGTGATCCACATTCCTTTTTAACTGTAACAGATACTAAACCCTCTGAAAACCGAGGATAATTTGGGCCAACTCCGTAGCCTGCAACATTGTGTTTATACGCCGGGCACCACGCCTAACCACGTAATGCCAATACAAACAACAAAACTGCTTTCTGGAATTAGCCACCTTGACTTTCCCCTGCACGTTCCTCTGTCCAAAAACAGACCAAACACCTATATAAGAGGCGTAAAGTCTTCAGTGTCAACCCAACAACGGGTCGCCCCTTTCTGCCCAGCTGAAGGGCAGCCCGGAGAGTGAAGGAGGCGCTCCGGGTCTTTAGTGAACAACTGCGACCATCCTCCTACTCAACCTCTCCCCCTAAGGCTGGCAGGGTGTGTCCAGAAAGTCCCATTTCAGCGCTGCGAACGGGACCTGGGACCAAGTGCCAGGCACGCGAGGGGCTGGAGCTAGAGGCGCCACCGCCACACTCGCGCAGGGCAAAGGAAGCGGCGGCCCCAGGGCGAGACCAGCCGGGGTACCTTGCGTCCAGCGGCAGAAGATGGTATCCGAGAGGCCGGGGCTGCTCTTGGTGCCCCACACCAGCTCCATCAGCTCTTTAGTCAGTTCGGACATGATGGGGAACCGGCGGGCGGGTCTTGGCGGTCAGGACTCCTGCCCCGGAACATGGGGAAGGGGCGACCTCGGGGACAGGAGTGGTGGGACGGCAGCGGCAGACGCGTCGGAAGGTTGGAGGGCAGGAAGGCCAAGGGGGAGACAGGTATTTCCAAGGACCGCGCCTGTCAAGCCGGATCGCAGCGGCAGCTAGGAGTTTCCCCTACCGGAAGTGCTGGGACCACTTCCGGCTCCGCCCCAAACCCCGGGCCCGCGTCACTCCCCGGAAGCGGAAGTGGGGCGGGGAAAAGCCGCGGGAGGCGGTGCAAGAGGCCTGTGGGGTTTCCGGGTGGTCTTTTCCCGTTTCTTTAGTTGGAGGGCGTGTCATTTGGGCGTAGGTGTATTTTCGGCTTTCCTGGAATACTCCCTTCCCTTAGGGGCTGATCCGGTCTCAGCTTGGAGCCTGAGATCCCAGCCCTAGTGGCTGGAACATACGCCCATCTTAAAGCATATTATTGATTTTGCAAAACTAAGACTAAAAAGCAGAGAATGAATCGCGGGGAGGTAGCAACGTCCTTGCCTGTGCAAAAAGCTACTCATAAGTTAGAGGCTGTCCGCCTACGTGGTTCTATAAATCATACAGAGTCAAGCCAGCTAGCACCTAAAGAATGCCAGAGACCGGGACGTGATATGCATTAGAAATGCTTCTACTAGATGTAACTGCAGAATTGTAAAGCTATTTGTAGGGAAAAGATTCAAAGCAACCTGTCTGTAAATGTTATAGCAATTTCATCACCAATTTTTGAGACTGTAGGGCGGGCGTGAGGGTAACTCCTGGACTAAAATCCAGGTTTTAGACATTGGGCAGCAATGAGATAAATTTAGTTTAAGTGAAACTTATATTTCTGCAGCTTAAAAAAGGAGAGCTTGTATTGCTTGATAGTTAAATTTAAAACAGAAGGGCAAAATCTGATTTTTTTTAAAAGATGGGTTTTTTGGGGGGGGTGTTCTTTAAGGAGACTTTTGTATGCCTGGGAAAACTTCAGAGAAGACTTCATAAAAGTTTGAGCTGGATAGACTTTTGATAAAGAAGAAGGAGTGGATGTGTGTTTGAGGTATAAAATACTTTTGTGGCATAATTCTGAATTTGTGGAGAAAAATGAGTCAAATCTTATTAGGATGGAGGTTGCAATGTATTGAATTGTGCCTTTCCAAAATCCATATGTTGAAGCCCTAACCCCAAATGTATCTGTATTGGGCACCCTCATTCAACAGGACCGGTGGCCTTAGAAAAAGGAGGGCGACACGAGGGCTTTCTTCTCCCTCTACACACAAAGAAGAAAGGCTGTGTAATGACACAGCAAAAAGGTTGCCATCTACAAGCCAGGAAGAGAGGCCTGTTTAAGCCCCTCGGTCTATAGTATTTTATTATGGCAGCCATAGCTGACTAATGCAAAATCTTAAAATTTCATGATGTCTTAAATCCAGGCATACCTTAGAGATAACTGTGGGATCCTGTCCACAGCATTGCAATAAAGTGAATATTGCAATAAAGCAAGTCATACAATTTTTTTGGTTTCCCAGTGGATATAAAAGTTATGTTTATAATATTCTACAGTGTAGTAAGTGTGCAATAGATACTATTATGTCTTAAAAACAATGTAAATACATTCCTTAATGTAAAATACTCTGTTGCTAAAACATGCTAACAGCTATCTGAGCCTTCAGGGATTGATAATCTTTCTTCTGGTGGAGGGTCTTGATTCAGTGTTGATGACTGCTGACTATTCAGGGTTGTGGTTGCCGAAGGTTGGGGTGGCTGGGGAAATTTCTTAAAATAAGATCACAGTGAAGTGAAGTTTGTTGCACTGCTTGACTCTCCCTTCACAAAAGATTTCTCTGGAGCATGTGATGCTATTTGATGGCATTTTATCCACAGAAGAACATCTCTCAAAATTGGAATCAGTCCTCTCCAGTCCAGCAGTTACTTTATCAACTAAGTGTATGTAACAATCCTTTGTTGACATTTCAACAGTGTTCACAGCATCTTTACCAGGAGTAGATTTCACGTCAAGAAATCACTTTATTTGCTGATCCGTAAGAAGCAACCCTTCATCTATTCAAGATGGATCATGAGATTGCAGCAATTCATTTACATCTTCAGGCTCTGCTTCTAATTCTAGTTCTCTTGCTTTCCGCCACATCTGCAGGTTCTTTCTCCATTGAAGCCTTGAACCCCTCGATGTCCTCCACGCAGGTTGGAATCAGCTTCTTTCAAACTCATGCTAATACCAGCTTCCAAGGTGTCATTCAATGACCATGCACCTTGATGGTCATGCCTCTGAATAGTCCCTTCCCATGCTGACAAGGGCTGATCTATGTGATCAGTATGATATCATGAAAGTAATGGTATGTGATTTCCAACAGTAGGTCATTAAAAGTATTGCAGTTTCTTTCTGGTATCTCAGCTCTTTTTCTTTGTGGGAGGCCACCTGCCATGCTGGGAGGACACTCAACTCATCTGTGGACGGACACATAGAAACTGAGCCTAGATATTCCAATCTCTAGTCACAGATCCCATTCTTTATCATCAGGGCTCTGACTGAGACAAAGGAAATTAGGCTTTCTCTCAAGTTCTGCTACTATCACAAACAAAGTCTATGTCTGGCCTTCAGCTGGGTCTGTTTCTCCCACTGTGTCCAATGATGTTTGTTTTTATTGATTTGTTTTAAGTGCCGCCAAGGAGAATTTTTGACTTTCATGTTACGTCTTAGGTTGCCAATTCATAAATACAAGCCCGTTGTTTCCCCATCTTCAACATTTCAATGGTATTTACAAAGTGGACAGACTTTGTAATGTAATCATCAGTCAGTTATTACTGCGGGTTGTCCCTGTGGCTCTAATTTGGTCAAAGATAATTCTTTGCAGAAAGAGACAGTTGTAAACTTTAACTGTCAGGAATGGACAGGTGCTGGGGGAGAGTTGCACTGACTGGTTCAGTGAAAAGGATCTAGGTAGCGACTAATAGCATCGATACACAGACCCAAAGTGAAAGAAGCCTTTAGCAAAATCACACTTAGAAGAACAAAGTTTCCCTTTTAGAATAGCAGCAAGAAAAATCTGCCCACAATCATCACTTCTAGACAACATAATACAGGAGACCTTTGTCAAGAGGACAAGAAAGAAAAAGATTAATAAGAGAAATGCAAAGTTATCATTATTCAAAGCCTGTCTCGTAGTTTGTTTTGCAATTAGCATTTTCTCTGGACTTCTATAGCACACTCTGCCTTTAACACTCAGGATTTTTTCTCTCCCAGGGCTACCTGTATTTTTTTCTGGGGCTGGCCTGACTGTGATTCTTTCACATCCCCATTGCTGGACAGGTTGAGACTCTAGTAAATGCATATGAAATTGAGCTGCTTAGTTTTTTCCAAAATGGTATTCCACCCTTATCTGTAAGGCCTATGTTCTAGAGCTCCCCACAGATACCTGAAACCAGGGGTAATACCAAATCCTACACAGATGGCGTATTCCTTATTTGAAATGCTATGGACCAGAAGCATTTTAGATTTGGAGATTTTTAGATTTTATAATATTTGCAATATATTTACCACTCGAGCATCCCTAATCCCTAAATTCCGAACCTGAAACCCTACAATGAGCATTACCTTTGAACATCATGGTGGTGGCTCAAAAAAGTTGGGATTTTGGAGCATTTTGGATTTTGGATGTGGATGTCTGAGTTAGGGTTCCTCAAACTGTATGTCTTATGTTTTTCTCCTGTACATATATATCTAGGATGACATCCAATTTATAGATGAGTCACAGCAAGAGATTAACAAAGATAACTAAAAAGAGAACAATTATAACAATATACATGGATGTGGTCTTTCTCTCTCTCAAAACCTCTTATTGTATTATACTCAGCCTACTGGACCGTGGGTAATTGAAACTACAGAAAGTTAAACTTTCTATAGCAAATGGGGGGAATACTATATAATACCAAACTTCTTTCACATTCTGAAAAAGGAATGACAATTTCTGTTGGTAAAGTTCAGAATCTGGATGGACTTGGACAGCTGGGAAAAACTGTTCTACAGTTTGACTACGCAGTAGTCAAATACAACGTGGGCCCGCGAGTTGAAACTGCTTTTCTTTTAATCCCAGACTCTGTTCCCAATTTTCTTGGTTTTCTTCACCGGGAGCTGTCCAAATTGGCTTGGCTCAAAGTGGGTGTTGGAATGTCGCACAGGAGGAGGGAGATGTGGATGACCATTAGCTCCCTGGTTCAATTAGAGTCACAGTCACCAGCATGGCCTCTGTCCAGGCCATGTTTACTGAAAGGTAAGTGACCTCTGCCCCAGACCTTTTGTTAGACATACTCTGCAGGCTTGGGAAGCAGCCTCAGGTGGGATGGGAGCCTAAACAGACAGCGGCCTGTTCATAGGAGCACCTTCCAAACAAACAGCAGAGCCCCCAGCCTGGCTGCTTCTATTTTCTTTGGTTTTTAATCTTTCAGAACTTGAGTTTATAAAAAAGGTTAATCATAAAAAAAAAAAATGAAGGGAGAGGTATAATAAACTTCTGTCAGCTAGATTTAATGATTAAATCTTTTGTTTCATCTGGTTTTGGTAAATTTTAAAATACTAATTACAGATAGGACAACAATTTACCCCTAATTATTTCAGTTTGCATCTCTAATTATTAAATCTTTACTACAAAGCCACCTCATTATTACATCTAACAAAATTAACAATAATTCCCTAAAACAATTTACTATCAGTCTCTATCCAGACGTCTCCATTTGGTCCCACAATGCCTTTTACAGCTAATTTCTTCAGGCCATGATTTAATCAATGACAATATACAGCATTTCTCTAAAGAGTATTTTAATGTAGAACACACTTCTCCTTTCTCTTCTTTTTCTATGACTTTAATTTGTTGAAGAGACTGGATCAATTTTCCCTTACAGCATTGCTTTTTTTTTTTTTTTAATGTATATGATTTTTTCCTTCTGAGGTTGTTTGATTTGTACCTAACTACAGGTTTTGGTATTTTCTGTAAACTGAAATGTATATCTTCTAGGTGTAAAGATTTGGTCATATTTAATGTGAACACATCAATTAGATGGCAAAACACTTGTTTGTAAGAATATCCTAAAAGCCGGGCATGGTGGCAGGTGCCTGTAAGTCCCAACTACTTGGGAGGCTGAGGCAAGAGGATTGCTTGAGCCCAAGAGTTTGAGGTTGCTGTGA